CACATTCCGGTCAAAAACCCTAGTGCTTGTGGAGACTCCTTTTGAAATATTATTTGATGTGACTTCTCTATCAGCCATTTTTGTGTTGAAATAAAAGCGTTGTCATCACGTTTATATCTTTTTTTACCAAGTTCATTCCACCAAAAGTGGATTTGCTTTTGGTGTATATTAATATCTAAGTTATTCATTACTAAACGCTTATATATCTCACGTGGAAGTAAATCAATATTTTCTAAAATATATTGTTTAATTTCTGAAGAGATAGAATTATCTAAACGGGGTGGATGAAGATGATGATAAATCTCTACATTAGCATATGCAAGATCTTGGGAAACAGTAATTGTGACCTGGCCTTTACAGTAAAAACGTTCAATTGATTGTCTGTCACGGTGTTTATTAACATCAATATGTTTTTTTGGCTTCTCAGCCAAACAATTTCTTTGCGAACAGTAATAAATGTAAGTTATCGAATTTGGCTTTTTTTTGACATATTTTAAATGATAACTACATAATTAACATAAAATTAATTATAAGTTAACCTTTTTATTTAAAATTAATCCTTTAACTTACATCCATTTATATTCGTCTACATCTGATATAATTTCAATGATACAATTGGTTCGTTCTTTCGAGTCACCTTCTAATGCTGAAATGTTTATGGCACAAGAAAATTCAAATTCCAAAGATTTTAAATTTTCTTGATCTTCATCTACTTTTTCATCTTCGAATGGATCAAAAAACTGCATTATATGATCATAAAAATCATAGAAATCTACGATTATTTCATTATTATGTTCTTCAGGTTGCTTTTTACTTATATTTCTTTTTTTGTCTTGGGTGCGGCACATATTACAGGTACGAACAATTTTATTTTTATTATTAATGAACAAACTACAAGGACGATATGTATCACATCCTTTGCAGTATTTTTGCGTGGTGTCATTATCATCGGTACTTATTTGAAGAGGAATCAGATCCATTTTTACAGCATTTTTAGTATACCCAAGAAAAGATAAAACGAAAGAAATTTAATATTTATAGTAATCAGTACAATTACGATGACAAATAAATATGACGTCAACGTAACAATAGTATAATAAT